TGGGCCAAGATCGCTCCATTGCACTCCACCCTGGGCGACAAGAGTGAAACTCAGTCTCAAAAAAAAAAAAAAAAAAAAAAAAATTACTATAGGAATGTTTACCTATGACTTAGAAGTGAACAACACCTGAATTTGATCATAATATTCTGTTGGGATGGCTGCTGAGGCTTGGATATTATTATAGCACACAGTAAATGAGGTGAAGATGGCGGAACTGCCTTGGTATAGTATTGAAGAAAGGGTTGGAAAGTTCCAGGAGGTGTGAATGTTAGAATGGATTCATTATGTGAGACTGAACAACCGTTTAACTACGTTCCTCAGGAAGACACTGCCATCACTAAGGCAATATAAAATGCACTGGTTTGCAAACTTTTCATCTGACAAGGGACTAATATCCAGAATATACAGGGAACTCAACAGCAAAAAAACAAATAATCCCACTAAAAAGTAGGAAAAGGACCTAAAAAGACATTTCTCAAAAGAAGACATACAAATGGCCAAGTGAGTGGAAAAATGTTCAACATCACTAATTATCAGGGAAAGGCAAATCAAAACCACAATGAGATAGCATCTCATCCCCAGTTAGAATAACTATTATCAAAAGGACAATAACAAATGCTGGTGAGGATGCAGGGAAAAGGAAATTTTTGTTTTCTTTTTGTATTTTTCTAGAGAAAAGGGAATTCTTATACACAGTTGGGAATGTAAATTAGTACAGCCATTATGGAAGACAATATAGAGGTTTCTGAAAAAATTAAAAATACAACCACCGTGGGATTCAGCAGTCCACCTACTGGGAATTTATCCAAAGGAAAGGAAATGAGTATATCAAAGCAATACCTGTGCTCTCCCATGTGTGTTGCAGCACTATTCACAATAGCAGAGATGGGACCAACATAAGTTTCCATCAATGGATGGATGGATAAAGAAAATGTATATAAACACAATGGAATATTCAGCCATAAAAAAGAATGAAATCAGCTGGGGGTGATGGCTCATGCCTGTAATCTCAGCACTTTGGGAGGCCAAGGTGGGTGGATCACTTGAGGCTAGGAGTTCGAGACCAGCCTGGCCAACATGATGAAACCCCGTCTCTACTAAAAATACAAAAATTAGCTGGGTGTGGTGGCAGGCGACTGTAATCCCAGCTACTGGGAGGCTGAGGCAGGATAATCACTTGAACCCGGGAGGCAGAGGTTGCAGTGAGCTGAGATGGCACCACTGCACCCTGGGCGACAGAGTGAGGCTCTGCCTCAAAAAAATAAATAAATAAGAATGAAATCATGTAATTTGCAGCATTATGGATGAAACTGGAGGTCATTAGGTTAAGTGAAATCAGCCAGGCACAGAAAGACAAATATCACATGTTCTTGTATATAAATGCTAAAAAGTTGATCTCATGGAGGTAGAGAGTAGAATGGTGCTAATAAGCTGTGAAGGATGGTAGGGGTGGAGGATGAAGACAGGTTGGTTAATGGGTGCAAACATACAGTTAGAAGGAATAAGTTATACTATTTGATAGCACAGCAGGGTGACTGTAGTTAATAATAATTTATTGTATATTTCAAAATAGCTGGAAAAGTTGAAGTATTCCTAACACCAAAAAATGATAAATGTTTGAGGTTATGGGGTATCCTAAATACCCTGATTTGATCATTATGCCTTGTATACATGTATCAGAATATCACATGTACCCCATAAATACATACAATTGTGTATGAATAAAAAATAATTTTTTAAAAAAAGGAATGCACTGGTGAGGGTTGTGGCAGCACCTGAGAAAAGTTCAGTGGTGGCTGCCCATTGCAGGCAGGTGTTGATGGTAAGAAATGCTGCCACGGAATTGAGCATGATATCATCAGTGGAGATGATGATGAGACTAGAATGGTAGAGGTCATGTATTATCACTTAAATGTCAGAGGCAAGGTGGACACAATAAAATAAACAGTAAGGCTGGAGTGGAAATCAATCAGGCTGCCTTGATCTGCAGGGCTTTGTGACAATGGCTAATAAATCATGGAATTTTGGGAGACAGCTGACTGGTATGTTACTTGACTAGTATGACCAAAAAAAGAAAAAACAAGGAAAACTGGTGAGCGTAAAGCTAAGGTAGCCTGTCACAATGGGAAAATCACGGTCTCTTCATCAGCTTCTAGATCTAAGTCAATTTACAGATCCAGTGCACAATGAAGAGGAGGACTGGTCTTGAGGAAAGGCCTTGCTTTCACAAGTATATATGATGTACATGCCCAGAATTTTTCAGAACTGGATACTATTATGGCTTTGTATGTAGATGAGGGGTTATGGAAACCATATGATAAAGGGAGTCCTGGCCAGTCTATCACATAATGGTTCCCATTTTGCAATTATTTTCCCAATCTCTAAGTATATATTTGGGATCAATATACTTAGATCCCCGTGGAGGTCTTAGACCTGTGAAGTAACAACCATTATGGGAGGAAGAGGAAACCTCTCCCTGGCCATGTTAATAAATTATGAGCACTCCACATGAGGAATGGCAGACATCAGTGTCACCATCAAAAAATTTTAGGGATGCAAGCGTAATGGGCTCCATCATAATCTCATTTAAGTTACCATCAGACTCCTGAAAAAGAGCAGATAGATAATGGAGAATGATGGCGGACTACTGCTAGTCTCAGTTGTAGCTGCTGTATTGGATGTGGTATCTTTACTGGCATCCTGTGGCATTTGATATGCAGCTATTGATTTGGCAAATTCACTCTTCTAAATTTCCATCAGAAAGGAGGATCAAAAGCAGTTCACATTTCTCTGGGATGGACGGCGATTCTCATTTACTCTGTTGCCCCCAAAAATCTTAAATCTCCTTTTCTATATCACAATATAATCCAAAAGGACCTTGATCATCTTTACATTCTACAGGACATCATGCCAGCCCACTATATTGTGACAGCATGCTAGGGGAATTGGCTATCAGGAAGCGGCAAGTATTACAAATGCCCTAGTAAGGCTTACATGTGCCGGAGTGTGGATTATAGACTCTATGAAGAATCTGGGGCATGCCACATTGATGAAGAGTTTAGAAGACCAATGAGTTGAGGCATGCCTAGATATTTCTTCTATAGTAAAGAACAATTTCTTGTATCTTCCAACCTCTTAACACTAAGATAGAGGCATAGGATTTAGTAGGTCCCTCTGGACTTTGGAAGCACATATATTGTATTTGGTGTATTCCTCTCACCCATTTAATGCCAGTTTCAAGTGGATCCCATTTAAAAAAAAAAAAAAGATTACAGCAGTTTTGGCTTCTGAACAAACTGCTATTCAGGCCGTGTATGTGGCAGTTAAAAATGTTGTGCGGGACCTCTGGAAAGCCCCAATAGGAGATAACAGCACAACTCTGTAGGATCCTGGAGTAACGCCATGCTTCCTGCAACAGAGAACTACTCAGACTCCTGATGTGCTACTGGGCCCCAGTGGAGGCTGAGAACCAAATTATGAGATACCAAGGACTAGGTAAACAGAGCTGTTAACATATGAGCTGGGCGTTATCAGATCCATGGAGTCACGAATTCAGATGGGCCCAGGAATGAGTCATCCTTATTGGAATTGACATCTCAGGGTACGGGTTTGCCTTTTCTGTCTGCAATGTGTCTTTCCATACAAGCACACTAAGACATACAGAATACCTGATTCACTGTTATGATATCTCAAACATTGCCTCAAGGACCACTTTTTGGATAAAGGAGGTGGTGCGATGGGCACATAACAACGGGATCCCCTCATCTTACCTCAACACCAGAAGCAGCCAACATAAGCAGAACAATGGAATGGTTCAGCTAAGACACCGGAGATGAGACAGCAGCCTGCAGGGTTGGGGTGCTGTCCTCCAGGATTCGGTAATGTGCTTTAATAATGACTGATACATGTCCCTATCATTAAAACACACAGGTCTGGAAACCACTAGGTGGAAGTAGATTGACCCCTGTCACCATCACGCAATTGGTGACGCACTTGATTAATTTCTATTCTTTTTTTCTACAATCCAGGCTAAATTAAAAGGTTTGGTTCCCAGGGGATCAGGGATGCTTTCATCAGGGGACTTGATAAGGGTTCCAGTGAATTGAAATCTACAAGTGTCACATGGTCACTTTGGGCTCCCCATGCCAGTGGACAAGCAGGCACAGAAAGGAGGTATCATACTGGTGGTGTACCTCTTCCCTCCTGCTCCAAGACTTCTCTGACATGAAGGCAAGGGAAGCATAGGGAACCCACTTGGCACTCACACAGCCCAATCTGGAAGTGCAGGGCAAATGACACCAAGGGCCACCCTTGATCAGCGGTGAGCAAAAGCTTATGGTTAAATGCTTTCCCCTTCCATACCCAGGGCAGACACCTGAGATGTGTTTCATCAGGCTCCTCTGAGGATCCTGCAAAACCAAGTACCAGAAACTGTAGCACTAGCCAACTTGCTAATGTGTCTGTGTATTAGCTTTCACTGTTTCCCCGGTACTTCACTCCTGTGCTCTGGGATCACTTCCCAAATAAATTGCTCTACATGGAATCATTTGTCTTAGGCTCTGTTTTGAGGGGAACTGAGTCTGAAACCCCTAGCTGCCTGGAATGCTCTGGCATTTTGTAAGAGTCACTCCTGCTTCTCATTCAGATCTTAAACTGATACGTACTCAAAGTGACCTTCCTTAACGACTAATCCAAAGTAGCAAGCCTCTGATATCAGATCACCCTTTTTGAATTCTCTGCATAGCATCTATCACTGATCTTTTTCTTTTTTAAAAAATGTACTTGTTAGTACCTTTGTCCTGGGCTAGAATGTCCCACACATGAGTGGAGGGACCTTGCCTATTTATTTCTTGCTATTTCTGTAGCACCTTAAATAGTGTCTGGCACACAGGAGGCACTGGAAAAATATTTCTTGATTGAATGAATGCTGAAATTTGATAATAAAACAAGATCCCAAATCAAGCCAGAATCCCAGCTAATAGACCTTTTGGAGAAAAAAATGCATATCTCAAATTTAAGTTTATTTAAAAATTACAAAAATGTCTCCACTCAAGTTGTCCTTGAAAAAAATTTAGAAGCAGCAATAATGATCTCGGTTAATTATAAGCAGTCTAGTGCAGTTTATAAAATCGAGCAAAATTTGGATGTGTGTCTTATCCCTCTGTAGACACGGGACCCTTTTTTGAGGTCTCTTTCTTTAGGGTCTGGTAGCATCATGACTGGGACACTTTCCAAAGCCTTCTTCCTTTGGACTCTATGTAAAATAATTCTATAGACCCCTGTGATTGAGCTGCGAGCGTCTCTCCCTTGGTTATTTCGAATATGCTCTTCTGTAATGCCCAAATGCTCTAAAGTGCTTTTGACTTCATTTTCTTCTTCCTTGAGAGTGCCGGTTTCCGATAAATGTTTGGGATCCAGTTGGAAAGGTTCCAAAGGTGTAGGGTATGGCACCCCTTGCATCCATTCATCATTCATGATGCAGTCGATCCCGTACCTCTCCATGGGAATCTGCTGAAGGACTCCTCGGATGAGTCGGTGGCAGGGCTCTGACACGTGGGGCGGTACACTGTATGTGCCCTCAAGGATGCTCTTTTTTAGTTTGGTCACGGTTTCTGCCCGAAATGGCATGATGCCAGTCACCATGAAGTACAAAAGCACCCCCAAGGCCCAGATATCCACGTAAATGCCGATGTAGTGCTCGTCCCGGAAGAGTTCAGGAGCAGCATAGGGAGGAGACCCACAGAAAGTGTTCAGCATTTCACCTTTTTTACTTACTGTGCTGAATCCAAAATCGCCCACCTTCACACAAGTATTACTGGTATAGAATACATTTTCTGCTTTCAGATCTCTGTGAATAATTTGGTTTTCATGCTGTGGAAGAAGACATAGAGAACAGTCATTTTTACAGTAAAATGCCAAAATAAAAAATGTATAAGTTGCTCTGAAACAGTGAGATAATGATGGTGGAATAACAAATTCAGTGAGGATCAACTTAAGTCGTGATAGCAAACCCTGTCATAACTTTTAGCCCAATGTAATGCCCACATCTCCCCAAATAGACCAAAGTTCCTATTCTGTGTGGTAAGGGTTGGAGTCTGTTCCACACATGTGGACTGAGAAACTAACACCAGAAATAAGATCCAGATCTTATGAAACTACACATTCTGAAATACAATGAAATAGTAATCCTTAGTTGTTGAGGTCCTACATGGGTTTTTCTGGCTGATGGATCGTTTGACCAGGGCCAAGACCAGGAAAGCTTGGAGCCCTCCCCTAACTTTCCGGCCATGCTTTTTGGCGTAGACTCTTTTATCTTTACAGAATTCAGCAGAAGGGAGGTGGTTGCATTTGGCAAGGATCTAGCCACAGAACACACTGTGGATTGTGGGCACGTGCTGCACTCCCACCCTTGCATCCTGAATCCAGACAGTCTTCAGAGGACCCTTGACCTGTTCAGTACCAAGGGCTCTGGGAAAATGGCTTTGTGTTTGTCATCTTTCTTGATGGCCCTCCTGGAATAAGAATCCAGGCTTTGGAGGGGACAGTCTGGTCAATTCCAGGTTCAACTATACCAGTTGGGTACTGTGAATGTCAGTTTCCTTCTTCGTAAAGTGGGATACTGATAACCATAGGCTGTGGTGAGAACTATATGTGATGCCAACTATATGTGATGAGAACCGTGCTCAGCATGGTCTTGACATATTAAAAAACTCAATAAGATGTGGATCTATGGCTATGAAACACACTTCCTGTTTGCAAAGAGTTGGAGAAATGGCAGGGAGTAGAGCTGCTGAAGACTAACGTCTGTACCCTCTATTGCTGGATTCTCTTCTATTCTCCCACCAGGTTACTCTTCCAAGTAGAATGTGGAAGACTCTGCCCATCTGTTCTATTTCTTGGTATGGATCTGGCTTATTCTCTGGCCCTGGGAAAGCTCACCACAGCCCAAAGCCACTTAAATGATGACTGGTCATATATCACAGGTCTGAAACACCCACCACCACTACAGTCAAGTTCTTCTCCCTGGCTCACTTATTTTTCTTCCTCCTCTCCTTCCTTACTGCTATTTTGGGCCCTCTACATCATGAATTCCCTTGCAAATTCTTCCTCTTTTCCCCATTGCCAGCATGGACTGTTTTATTTGACTTTTTCAGTGCCTGGCATATAATGGGGTTCACTGTGGCTCACTGATCCCGTTCTTGCTCCCACAACCATGCAGGCCGAGAAGCGAATTACAAATAGCCTCTTAACTAATATAGACCCTAGACAAGTGTCTCTTTTCTGACAGATCCATTCAACTGGGATCTGAGTAAAGAGGGTGACTGACCAAAACTTTTGGTAGTAAAAGTGATAGTCAGGTCTGCAAGTCAGGTTCCTCCTGTATGGCCAGCAATATGGCCAAAAATAAGGAGGCAGCAAAAGAGCCAGTTCTTGGGGGAACTATAGAGTGTGCATTAGGAGTCCAGATTTATCTAAAGAAGTAACCAAAGAACTAAAATAAGAATGACACAACCAACCAGGCACGGTGACTCACGCCTGTAATCCCACCACTTTGGGAGGCCGAGGCAGGTGGATCACTTGAGGTCAGGAGTTCGAGACCAGCCTGACCAACATGGTGAAACTTCATTTCTATTAAAAATACAAAATCAGCCAGGCATCGTGGCACATGCCCATAATCCCAGCTACTTGGGAGGCTGAGTCAGGAGAATCGCTTGAACCCAGGAGGTGGATGTTGCAGTGAGCCAGGATGATGCCACTGCACTCCTGGGTAACAGAGCAAGACTGTCAAAAAAAAGAAAGAAAGAAAGAAAGAAAGAAAGAAAGAAAGAAAGAAAGAAAGAAAGAAAGAAAGAAAGAAAGAAAGAAAGAAAAAGAGAAAGAAAGAGGAAGGAAGGAGGGAAGGAAGGAAGGAAGGAAGAAAGGAGGGAGGGAAGGAGGGAAGGAACGAAGGAAAGAAGGAAGAACCAAGTGTTAATCTACTGGGCACAGAGGCAATAAGAGCTAGGGGATCTTACTGAAGGCAAAAGATCAGTATTACTGATGTGAGATTGAAGAACATCTCTCTCTCACATACACACACATGGGGCGGGGGGTGGGAAAGAGAGAGAGAATGAACTGAGCTGGGCATGAAGTATGAATAGGATTTAGAATGTGAGATGTCATATGAGGGCATCCTAGACAGAAATAGGAAAGCAAAACCAAGAAGCAGTGAGGAGCCAGCTATCCAGATAGTGGAAGATGAGGTTGGAGAAATGGGTATGGCCAGGGAGTGGGCGATATTCATCAGATGCTCCCTGTGAGTCCTGCCAACATCTGCAGAAGCTAGGAGGTTGATGTGTAACTGGACATCCCTGGATATTGCTTCACAGGCAAGGAGCATGATCCCAGCCAGACTTCTGACTCTCAGAAGGGACTACTGTCTGCTTTGTAGGACAAAAGCCCTCTGGGACACTTGAGGCTTGGTAACCTAAAGCCCTGTTCTCCCAATGTCGGTGGAATGGGAACAAGGTTCTCACTCGTCACCCCTGCTCACCATGTGCTTCACGGCAGACACAATCTGGGAGAAGATGAGCTTGCTTTCTGGTTCAGAGAGCTTCCCCTCAGTGCTAATTTTTCCGAACAGCTCCCCACCCCCTGCATATTCCATCACCAAGTGCAGCTTGGATAGGGTCTCCACGACTTCGTAAAGGCGGATGATGTTGGGATGGTGCAGCTTTTCCATGCTGGAGATTTCTCGGGATAGTAGCCTCTGGGTTTTCTGGTCTAACTTGGTCTTGTCCAGGATCTTAATGGCCACCTTTTCTGCAAGGAAAAAAAGTAAAAAACCGTGCCAGAATTCAAGAGGACCTGGATCAGCTCTTTTCCTTTACTAGACACATTCCCAAGCTCACAGAGCTCATCAGGGAATGACAAAGCAATGCTTGAGCCCAGCATCAGTGCCCTTCCCTTGGATCAGTGTGAGTCTTCCACACACAGGTTTTGATGCCAAATCCTGCCTCCCAAGGAAAGTTTCCAGATAAAGTTAGAGCTCCTTTGCTAAGCCCGGAGGACACTTCTTGATGAGACCCAGCGCATCTCATCAGCCTCACTGTCCATCATTCCTGTCCACCATCCCCAACACCCCACGCACCCTTTATTGCAACCATTACAGAACTTTTTGTTGCTCCCTGAAAAGGTACTGGACATTCATGCCTGGAAACTTTTCTCTACCTGGATCATTCTCTCCATCACTGCTTCCCTGTTCCTTACTCTTGTTCTTTACTCATCGATATAGTTTGGACATTTGTCCCCACCCAAATCTCATTGAAATGTAATCCCCACTGTTGGCGGTGGGGTCTGGTGGGAGGTGTTTGGGTCATGGGCGCCGATGTCTCACGAATGGCTTGGGCCATCTCCTTAGTGATAAGTGAGCTCTCGCTCTGAGTTCACATGAGATCTGGTTCTTTAAAAGTGATGGGATCTTGTGGCATGTTCCCCTGACTCTCGCTCCTGCTTTCACAGTGTGATGTGCCTTCCACCTTCCACCATGATTGGAGCTTCCTGAGGCCTCTATAGAAGCAGATGCCACCACGCTTCCTGTACAGCCAGCAGAGTCATGAGCTAATAAAACAGTTTTTTCTTATAAATTACTCAATTTTGGCTGGGGGCGGCGGCTCACGCCTGTAATCCCAGCACTTTGGGAGGCCAAGGCGGGAGGATCATGAGGTCAGGAGTTTGAGACCAGCCTGGCCAACATGGTGAAACCCCATCTCTACTAAAAATACAAAAATTAGACAGGCCCGGTGGCAGGTGCCTGTCATCCCAGCTACTCGGGAGGCTGAGGCAGGAGAATCACTTGAACCTGGGGAGGCAGAGGTTGCAGTGAGCCAAGTTCGCGCCACTGCTCTCCAGTCTAGGTGACAAAGAAAGACTCCATCTCAGAAAAAAAAAAAAAAAAATTACTCAATTTCAGGCATCTCTTTATAGAAATGCGAGAATGGCTTAATACACTCATCATTAACCCCTGATGATCCTTCAAGGTGAGCCTCAGAATGAACCTCTTCAGGAAGCCTCTGTAACACTTGTCCTAGGATGAACGTGATGTTCAGATTCTGTGCATTTGGAGCTCTAATGTACTGTAATCTCAGCTAACTGGTCTGTAGATGTCAACTCCCTTGTTTATCTCCCTCTCTTGCCCCATTCCCAACATGAACTGTTTTAATTCACTCTCAGTGCCTGGCATATAATGTCATGTACACGACGCACCAGTACCCAGTGTTGACAGAGTGCTGGTGAGACCAGGAGGAAATCAACACTGCAATGTGCTGCTGGTGGGAGCATTAGTTGGTACAATGGTTCTGGACTGTACTTTGGTATTATGTATTGAAATGCTAAAAAACAGTTGCACCCTGGGACCCAACCACTTCACCTTTGGCAATCTTAAAGAATCTGATGCATGTACAAGGATGTATGTATAAAAAGACTTCTGTGATATTGGGAATAGCTTAAGTATCCAGCAAGAGAGATACTTAAAGTGTGGTACATCTAATTTTATAACGGCACACCATGAAGCTATCAAAAATAATGATGCTAACTAATTAAGATGAAAAGGTGTTCAATAGACAAGTGAGGAAAAATACAAATACACGTTTGCATAGATAAAAATCTGGTAGCATATTTACCAAAATGTTTAGAATAGAGATTTTCTAATTGGCAGATCACAGATAGTTTTCCTTTCAATTTAGTTTTGCTTATTTGTATTTTCTATTTTTTTGTCATGAATATAGACTTATTGTGTAATGAAAATGATTAATGTTAGAAAATGAATGAATCTTGACTACAAGTGAAACATCATTCATTTTTTGTTTTGGTTCAAACCGTACCGGACTTTGAATTAGATAACAAAGAAGTTACCCGGCCAGTAAACAGACAGAACAGGATCCCAAAGTACCTGTTTGACCTACTTACAAAATAACTGCTTTAAAGAACTTTGGCACTGTGATTATTAGCACGAAAATAGATACAGCTAGTTTAAAATAGGAGTGTTATTGGTATATTAAAGTAGGTCCACTGGGGCTTCTGGAATGGAAAAGGGTTCACTGGTGTCTGCTGAGCCAGCCCTTCATCGCAGGAGGCAATACTGAGCGGCAGGAGGGCGGCTCTACGAGAGCAGGAGCAGAATGTTTGCTCTGGGGTTTGAATAAGCTCAGCTGGCAATCAGCCCCAGAAAAAAGAACCTGCAATGGCAATCCTGGGGCACTCTTCTTCCCTTTCTTTTCTACTTTTCAGTCTTTAGGATTAAGAGTTCCTTTACCTGTTTATCTGAAACAGAAACCTGGTTTTGTGTAACCTGTTGGGTAAGCTGTTGTTTTAAGGGCTAGAATAATGAATTCCACCCTTCAATTTCCTGTAGAAGAACCCCCCTGCTTCTCCTCAGTTCTCCCATCACATACTCAGGTGTCAGTTAAGGTATCATCATTCTGCTGCCCTCTCCTCCCTGTGGCCACCATACACCATTCTATGCACAGTGAGTGTTCAAGAATCAGGTGGTGGGTGTCAGGCTGCCATCACAAATCTCCTTTTAGCACCACCCTAATTTTCTTTTTCTCTTTTCCTTTCATGGCTCTTAGCAAAGGCTTCCCTCCCAGAGCCAGGTCTAGAGTGTGGCAGGAGAGGCATTGTAAGGGTGAAAGCTTCCTTAAATCCTCTGCCGTAGGTGCCCCGATGGCCTCACCTCGTGTGCAAACACCCTACAGGCAGGCCTCATAGCATAAATGTATGATCATACTAAACACTTTAGAAGCCCTGGTATTCCACATTGTCACTAAGTGGTAGAAACTGCTATTCCATGAAGAGCTAGATCTCTAAATCTGCTCTTTCAATAAATGTTCAATGAGCACCTACTATAAATCAGGCAGTGAAAAAGATGAACACTGTTCTCATAGTCCAATGACAGAAAGACTGAAAAAAAAATCCCTTCTTACAAGTACAGCACCTATTAGGAAGAGATACAGACATAGAATGGAAAGGCACTATCTGGGTAAGGGCGCTTAGGTTGTGACCAGGAATTGAGGAGAGAGGCCTCATACTTGGCCCAGGAGCTTGGCAAGTATGCTGCCCAGGCAAGACATAAGATGTGTACTTGAGGAACCCACTGTTCTGGAAAAGCAGAATGAGGAGGAGTGGCCCCAGATCAGCCTGGTAGTAGGTAAAGGTCAGATAAGCCAGGAGATTGATTTAGAAATGCAGGCTTTAACTATAGGGCAATGAGAAAATCTAGCAAGGTTTTAAGAGAGAGGGTTGTAATCTGAGTCCCATTTAAGAAGAGCACTCTGGGCCGGGTGTGATGGCTCACACCTGTAATCCCAGCACTTTGGGTGGCCGAGGCGTGTGGATCATGAAGTCAAGAGTTCAAGACCAGCCTAGTCAAGATGGTGAAACTGAAACCTTGCCTCTACTAAAAATACAAAAAATTAGCCGGGCACGGTGGCAGCTGCCCGTACTCCTGGCTACTTGCGAGGCTGAGGCAGGAGAATTGCTTGAACCCAGGGGGCAGAGGTTGCAGTGAGCCGAGATTGCGCCACTGCACTCTAGCCTGGGTGACAGAGTGAGACTCTGTCTCAAAAAAAAAAAAAAGGCACTCTGGCAGGGTGTGAGAAGTGCGGAGAGGAGCAGCAAGCCTAGGAGCAAGTGGGGTCTAGGAGCGGATGATAGAATGATAGAAATCCCAGAGAGAGGACGCTGTAGGTGGTGCAAGGGGAGAGAGAGTAAAGCAGACAGATGGGAGAGGCCAGCCATGCCCTTTCTCCAAATCTGATGAGAAGTCTGACACAGGACCTACCTAGCAGGCAACACATTCTTTAAACCATGACTCCCAGTGCCAGGGTGGTAAGAGCAAAGCAAGATTATTGTATGCAACAGGGAGTCACTGGTGATGGTGAATCCTTAAGAGTAGCTGCCCCAGTGGAAGCGGTGGCTCTACTCAAGGCCACACTATTTGGTTACTATTTGGAATGCAGGCTCAGTGTTGTCAAACCTTCTTCTGATTTCTTTTCAAGAGAAGCCAGACATCTGAAATTTTATGCAAAATCTTCCCATTATTAAGTGTCGACAAATAATTCAAATTTCAAAACCTAGATTAGACCAAGCAAAATACATCTACAGGACCAAGGGGACAAAGGGAAGGGAGCAGATATTAAAACCTAGGAAGATAGTGTTGTGTAGAGGGAAGCTGAGGCTTTCCTTCTAGACACACAAGTTTCCTGAGTCAGCCTTACAGTGAGGGGCTGGGGGAATAAGATTAGGCCCTCTCTCTCTTTCCTTCCCCTGCAAGGGCTCCCTAGAAATCAAAGTCAACTGGAACCCAGAGGACTAAGGAGATTTGTTGTAGTCTTGGGCTGAGAGCAGAATGAAGAAGGGTGGAGAGTAGATCTGGAGGGGCAGATAGAAAATATCAGGTACAGTGGGCTTCGGGGGGGAAAGTGCCAGGGGCATTGGGGGCATAAAACAGGTGGAGGTACCCCTGGTCTGGGGGTTAGGGAAGACTTTTAACACTTTCTCTGGAGTTCAAGAGTTAGCTAGGGAAAAGCAGGGAGAGGTTCTAAAAGGAGAGATGGGTAAGACAGAAGATCTTGAGGTAAGAAAGACCTGAAACATTAGGGTTATGGTCTACAAGCTTTTTTGATTGTCTTCCTTTGTCAATAAAACATTTTTTTTAATATTCAACATCATTAGTTGTTTTATGAATAATAGCTCCAAACTGGAAATAATCTACATGTCCTCAGCTGGTGAATGGTTAAGCAAATTGTGGTACCTTCATCTGT